ATATATATATATATTGTTATATATGTGGTATCGTAAAAATACTCTGTATCTGAATTAAGAATAAACTTTATGTAAGTCGTTTGCATGACGTGTACCTAATAATCAACATCTGGGGAAACACGCTCGTCCGCGATCGATTTTTCGTAAAAACTCGTCACAGGTTTTCCATGTGACCCATCAACATCGTCGCAGCGACTGGTAATCGTTTAGCGTGACTAATGGGAGTAGCGAGACGTTTACCGCACTATCAGCGAGCATACAGAAGTTCCTCCTTCGTGGGTGAACATACACGTACATAAGCGTGTGTATGCGTAAGTGCATAATTGAACGGTAGGCGCGTGTAAAAAGCGAGAGGAAGAGGTGGTGGTGGAGGAGGAGAAGAGCAAGCAACAAACATGTTGAGCGCGATTGTCTTGCGCACATTGGACTTTTTGCATTCGTTGCCTTTCTATGCGAGAGCGACGGAATGATCGGAGGAACGATCGCAGGGAGATGATGGGAGAGGAATAAATTCGAATTATCTTTAAGAGAGATTATGAGGCAGTTGAATGAGGTGTTTATATCTGTAAAGTTCAACTTACAAGGAAATTTGAATAGTACATGCATATTTGCATATATAGTGCATTTAAATATGGCTTGGCATTTGTGATGGTTCAGGTAGGAGAGAATTTACTCATTTATATATATATACATTTATATATATACATTTATATATATATACATATTATATATATATATACACGTGAATGTGCGCATATATAAATAATATCTATAAATCTGTGATATTGGATTGGCACAAAAGTTTGTAGCGCTATTTCATTTTTATCATAACTATGCGTTTTACAAAAATTTTGGCAATTGTACATTTGATAGAGCAAAGTTTTGATTTTAAGAATCTATTTTTTTAATTGCTGTACGATTTTCAACAAAATTATGCAGCAAAAAAAGTCAGTATATTCCTTTTATTTAATCCACGATGAATTCAGTGACAAAAAGTTTTAGAAACGATTTTTTGTAGGGAAAATTTCAAAGCTTTCGTGTTAAAAAGTCGGAAATTTTCGCAAGTTTTTTTTAGGACACCTGATAGGCCCACAAAAGAGAAAATTTCCCATTTGGTCCAGCTCGTAGTTTTCCATTATATAAAAATTATCACAGCAACTTAAAAGACATAGTATTGGATCAGTGCAAAAGTTCGTGCTCGATTTATTATTCAAACAGCTGCTCTTTTTATTAAAAATTTAATTTTATTTTTATTAAAAATAAAATCTAAATCTTACTCTTTCTGATAAGAGAATTTAAGAATCTATTTTTTTTTAATTCTGATGGTTTTACTAGAATGAGCAATCAAGGTCAAAATATTCATTTTATTTAATTTGCAGCAAATCAATAACAAAGTCATAGAAACATGTTTAAATGATTTTGTAGGAAAAGCTTCAAACTTTCACGATAGATCGAACATTTTCTCAAATTTTTTTTGGACACGCTGTAGACCTACAAAGAAAAGAAAATTTCTCATTTTTTTCAGCTCGTAGTTTTCTATATGTAAAAATTACAAAACTCACAAAATCAATTATAAACTCAAAAAATATAGTAACCATTCATAAGTAGAGATTTCAAGCTTTAAAATCCTTTGTTTAAATTTAAATTTCGTTTATTTTTAACAAAATTGTTGTTTGAACTTTGAACAATAAATCTGGCACGAACTTTTGCACTGATCCAATACTTCGTCGAAAGTAGAAATTTTAAACTTTAAAATCTTTTTTAAAATTTAAATTTTATTTTTCTCGAAATTATAGTTACTTAAATTTTAAAGTTTATAGTATTACACATTTCGATCTAATATATATAATTATGTATAAAGAATTTAGTTTTTTAATGGAGATTAAGGTAAATGTAATCTGTAATTGCGTTAAATTGCATTTACAATTTACTTAATCTGTATTAACTATATTAACAAAGTTATACAGTCATATTAGTAGTTTGTTTGAGTAACCCTGAGGTTTTAATAACGTTAATAGTTTAATCTAAATTTATATCAGTAAATTCAATGTAGGTTTGCTCTTTTTTCGAAAAATGTTTTCAATTGGTATTATGGTGCTATGAATTGGAATGAAACAAATATGATTAATTTCATTCTAACTTATTGTATCAGTATACATAAATTTAGAATATTTCTCCGAAAGAGAACAGAGCTTATATGATGATATATGACTGATATATATGGAACTAACGCTAGATAACAAGCAGAATTTATATATAAATATCCGAAATAAATATAGAAAAGAAGATTTAAACGAAAGAAATTTTTTTTTTCTTTAAATATTCTCATTTTTTTCTATATTTTTGCCGTGTCGATTACTTCGTATTATTTAATTTCCCATTTTTGAAAAAAGAGGCAGTAAAACTAAAATTAAAACTAGAAGTAAAAACAACGAAGATAAACTACTATCTAGATACAAATTGCAAAATTCGAGTCTCTCGAAGGGAGAAGAGAAGAGTGCGACTCTTTCTCCATAAACATGTTAATGAAGCAAGTAGATGTTACTAACAATTGCTGTAAATAATTCTCAATCGTCATTTTTACATTTTTTAGATCGGTGTCTCGAGTTTCGTGACGATCGAGATAACAATAACGATAAATAATAATAAGCATATCTACACACTTGGCATGTGGCGTACCAGTCCATGCGAGTCTTCGCGCTGTGTGGATATTGTGGATATTCGCGCCACGATTTCGTGACGAGCGAATTTCGATCGCGAGAGTCTGGTAAACCATTATGTAAATCATTATGTAAAAATAAAAAAAGGGGGAGGAAAAAACTGCTATTTAAACCGCGTCGTGAAACCGGAACATAAACAAACCGCAAAGACGCACGGATTTACGAATGAACGCCAAACCAAAATTGAGTCGACAAATGTGATGTTGTGAACGCAGATTATTGTGTGTGGGGAGGGGGAGGGGAGAATCCTCTTTCCCTTCGACTGATTTTTATGTCTAATGGCGATCCCGCGGAAATCAAAACTGCCCACTATACGTAATTTTTTTCTTGTTATGTAATACCTCGGAGACGTCGATTTACTGGAATCATTATTTTATTGTGTAACTATCTCGCTAAATTATACAGAGTGTGCGTTTTATTTTGGATGTAGCGATTATTTCGCTTTTTGCATTGAATAAAAGTTTTCAACTTTTTCGAAGATGGACAAAATGGTCGCGAAACTCGGTTTAGAACTCAGTCGTAGATCGGTTTAATGTAAATGATTGGATCCAAAAGTGAAAATCGTGAACAATTCGGTGAACAAGTTGCATTCTGAAATCCACCGAAAAAAAAAGTATCGCATTCTGTTCACCATTATATTCATTTTCGCGAACCCTGTTATTCAAGGCGGGGAAAAAAAAAGAACTTTTTCAGTCTGATATTTGTAGAGAATATCTTTTCTCTTTATGGCGTTTCCGATGTTATCTCGTGGTTTTTTCCTGCGTCTTGCACATTAGTGCATTGTGATGAGTAGAGGGAAAGGTAAAAGGGACATAGGCGATGAAATCTACTGAAACTACAGAATTATGGTTTCATGTAATAAATAACGATTATGATAGATTATCCAACAGATTGATACCGCACGCTATTACGATGTATCTTGCATTAAGTCGCTACGCGGTCATAAATGAGCCGCGTATTGTAAACTTATAATCGACCTTTGACGTCACACGATCGACGCCACTACGATCGTGACGTGTTGACACGTTCCGGAACAGCCCGGACGAGTGAGCGTGTGCGCGCGTGCATTAATCGATCACGCTCCGTCTCGATTATCTAATCGCCGTGCGCCGCGATGGAACGAAATTCTCTCACGAATCCGCGAAGATTCGCAGGAAAATTGGCGATTTATATATAGCCGAACTCGCACGCGAGTCGCGCGAAGTAGACGCTTTCTAATCGGAATCCAAATACAAGGTGTGTTTTGTATGCAGGTTTCTAGTTTTAGCAAAATCACGTGAGAGAGGAAGACATATTTCTTCCTCTTTTTCTATTTACGTTAATCTGTTATTACATTAATCTGTTATTATCATTTCTTTTTCTTAACTTTCGGAGAACTGGCATGTTTTTGATTGACTTTTTTATTTTAAGCTAGAACTTTATTGTCAATGTCATAGGGTGAGTGACGAAAAAGGTGGCGCCACTGTCGAGTCCCTAAAGGGGGAACCTCCGATCCTCCAAACGTTAATTTTTGTATAATATTTTATTTATTTCATGTTTCATTGCTTTGTAGCATTTCTGCGTTTAAAAAAATTTATATCTCAGAGCTCAAGATAAATAATGATTTATTCGTTTATTTATTTCTTTTTATCTAATTTTATTTTTCTTTTAATTTTTTGTTTTTTCTTTTATTGTACTTATATTACTTCACTACAGTATTACTTAATTGTTTATGTAAATATATGTAATAAATATACATAATATTATATGCTTAATTTTGGCGCTTTAAAGTACAAAGAAAAAGTTTTTTTTAATTAAACAAATTTATGAATTTGAATAATCCAATCAAATGGATGTTTAAATTAAGAATGTGATTATTTGCATTAAAATTAATTTTTGTTGATTAAACAAAAAGTATGTCACTTAAAATTAAATATGTTTCAATATGAAACAAATATAAATAGAACTCTTGAGTCCAAATCTTTTTCTTTGTGCAATCCTGAAGCTCATATATTAAAATATTAATAATTCAATAAATAGCAATATCTATCTATTTCTCAGGAGTTGTTAAAATAAGCAGATCCATCAAAAGTGTCTAATTCTGATTAGATGATTTCTATAATACAAAAATGCGGCCGTGTCAAATCGAGGCATTCGACGTCGAACGAAGAAAACGCCATCCGAGTTGTGCAATTTGAATTTCGACGCGTGGATTCCGCGAAAGCATTTTGTCTCCCTCGGATTTCTCCCGATTCGGTTATAAATTTACGTTTATTTTATGTAACCTTTTTTACGTAATAACTATTTACAACCTGCCTGAAATTATAGCGCGTGGAATCGTGCACGCGGCAACGTTCTCCGTTTATTACGTTTTGAATATTGTAACTAACAATTATGGAAAAATTTCTGGAGCCAATCGTTATCATGTTGGAGCCATTTGTGTGTGGTATATCGACATTAAAATTGGACCTTATCATTCGTCCTTCCCGCAAGGACTCGCCGGAGGAGGAATGGGAAGAGGGGGGGGGGGGAAGAAAGTATCGATGCTCAATTGAATGCGAGCATTGCGAGCGTCACCACCAATAGGCCGGGGTAATTAGCGCCTGTTGATTGGTCACCTTCGCCGGCGCGCCATCGCTACGCCGCTGTTGACGCCGACGTACGTCGCGTTGCGGGGGTGGGGGGGCTTATTTACTCGCGCGCCCAGGTTGCGTCGATCTCGGGCGAACGGCGTGGCGTTAGTCCGCGCATGATGCGCGTCGTGCTTTTTCCTCTGGTGATTCATTCCTCTCCGCTTCCGCGTTCACATTTGCTCCTCTTTTTTTTTCTCGTACCTGTTCGCCGTTTTTTCACGCCGTTCGGACGATGACGCGAACCGTCCTCGTAAAAATTCGAACGATGATACCAAGTACGTCGATCGATGTGGGATCGATATCTCGCAGTGAAATCTCGCGGGCTGCGGGACTTGGCGCGTAATAATTCAAAGGAAAGACTTGTTGATATAAACATTACAAAATATCCCATTAGTTGTGCTAGATCGCTGAGTGATATGTGACTGTATCGAACGATTTGTATGTGGAGTTGAATAAGAAGTGGAATCTTATGGATTAGCATAGACTCTAGGACGATTTTAAGAGCGATAATTTGTGAGAGTCAAACGTGAACGGATTATCGAATGATTCATTACTGCATTCAGATTCGTTACTGCAAAGAGAAACGAGGATTCTTAGGACAATTTTGAATCGTGAATGAACAGAAAGAAATTTTAGTCGAGATCGTCCAGTGATTTGTGAACGATTCATTCTTTTTTTTCGAGAAGAAGACGACGGGATTGCGAAAATATTCTGGAGAGTCTGATGGCACCTGATCTCGAGAAAAGACGCCAGGAATTAAGGAGAGGCAGCAGCGGGACCTTGGAACATGTTAACGATCAATCGGGCATGCTCTTACAGTTGAGGTGTGCAGACGGCACGACGGATCTTCATCGTCATGGTAATTAGAGATTATGACCACGGTGTTTTGGATCATCGTCCACGTGTTAACGGCGTTTGTTTATTTAACTCAGAAACTAGTTCAGAAACTCCAAATTTAATTCATTTTTAATGGAAATGTCAATTTTTCATTTATGGAATATCTTTTTTGGAATCACGACACTCAAAAAATTTAAGCAATAAAACAAGCAGCTTAGTAAGCACTAAGCAAATTACCTAATCACAATAGAGACTATAAAGAGCTCCACATACCGTACCGAGCTACACATTCCGTAACCGAAAGACATCATAAGAATTAATCAATCAGTGCAGAGAGTTTTGGCACTTCTAGACAGTCATTGGAATGTTTGGTCTTAATCTTAGTCTTAGAATTAGTAATTAGTCCTTTAGTCCTAACTTAATTTTAAGGACTAAAGTTAAAAGATAGGAACTTTCTTGAGACTAAGATTAAGATTATGGTTAAGACTATGGTTAAGAGGAAGCATAAACGATCTTATGGCATTCTTTGTTGCCAACTTTTAAGATTAAGATTAAGACCGAAGCATAAACCAGATATAATTCTTATGTACGTCTTAAGATTATTGTTACGCAAAGTGTGTGTGGCAACTCTAAAATCATAACGTATCAATAACAAATTCAAAACCGATTCTAAGTTGTAAGTCATGAGAATTGAACCAATCGTAGTTGATTATTCTCCTCCATTCTACTGTGATTGGTCGATTTTTATGGCTATAGAATCAGCTCAACATGTTGATTTCCTTAAATGGCGTCTACAATGAAATTTTGAGACATAAAATTTAAGTTTTAAACTCTAAGCCGTAAGAAATTGACCAATCACAATTAAATGTGAGAATACTCGATTACGATCGGTAAATTTCTTACGGCTTAATGCTTAAAATTTTTATGCCTTAAAATCTCATTGCAGACATCGTTTTATACTACTTACGTTTTATTGCTCAAGTTTCTTTTGTCTGTCATGGCCCTTAGTCTTACTTTTTTTCCTCTACATTCATTGTTTGTAACTTAGAATCGCTATTCATTGCAAGAACTGAGCAAAGTCTGAGCTCAGATCTCTTTGAAATATGATTTTTAATGAACTAAACCAGTTTCATCAAGTAAAATCAGTTGATTTCTCATATTTTCTTCGATTTTAATCTTTATTTAATTTGATTCATGAAGAATTAAAAAATCTTTTCGAATTATTTAATTTAAAAACAATATTTATTGGTCTCATAATTTTCAAGGTTTCTTCGAACTATTAGGTGTGAGCCAAAAACAAATTATCAATCACGTTGCGCAACAATATTTATTACTGTTATACGCTTGCAGCTGTCGTTTACATTTGCAGAACGAAATATTTATCCGAGTTCATATCGCAGTGCGTTATTAAAGATGATTAGACAGTGATAAATATTTTTCTCTCCCTGTAAGTCATCTACATGCAAACTTTCATCTCGAATTCTTTTAAAGGTTAGGTTTTCCTTCGATTTTTTTTTCATATTCATGAGAACTGCAGTGCGCGCGCGCGCACTTTTTCAAATTATTAACTGCGTATCAGAAACAAATCATCAATTTGATTGCCGATTTGTTTTTAATTTTTTTCATGTATTACAACCTTATCAAAATGACATAGCTTTTTCTCCAATATTTTTTTTATTGCTTATAACTTTTTTTTTTAAATAAATACTTCTATTTACAAATATATAAATTTATTAATAAATACGTATTTCAGTACTGTTATGTTCCTTGACATCTGATGTTTTGATTGAAAAAAAAATGTATATATTCATTTTTATGAAAATTATAAATTATAAGCAATTAAATTTTGCCATCCATTATATTCTCATAATAAAGCGTTTAAAGATTAAAAATTTATTACACTTATTTATTACACTTATTTTTTAACATGAAAAATTACAGATTTTTCAATTGTATTTGAAAATAATATGAGAAGTTTGGTGATGATTCAGAATCTGGGTCAAACATTATTTCAATAAGAAGAAAATGTTTTTAAAAAATAATTAATATAAAATGAAAAATGTTATTGAAACTATAAAATTATATTGTTAAATATAAATATGGATCTTATTAATCTGTCATAAGTATACAACATTAAGTATATAACATTCATTTTATGTTGTACAAATTCTATTTCAGTTATTTCTTGCAAGGAAAACTATCACTACATATACACCTGATAGATTCCTTAAGAGACGCTTTCATTCTCACGCTTTATCTTTCATTTTATTTTTCAAATTTTGAAATTTTTGCAGAGTAACTTACTATTCTTCTTATTCACATCTTTTCTTTTATTTATAAGTATCTACTTGTTCAGTGTTATAAGTATCTACTTGTGTTTTTTTATTACTCCTCATTTTATCAAATAAAAATAAAATAGAATTTCTAACTTTATAAATTCAGTATGACAACCACTAACTCAAGAAAAAACAAGTCAAGTACAGATATTTTCATTCTAATAAGATTGGATAACTATCTATCATAGAAAGCAGAACAGAAATAAAACACGCTGGAAAAGAAATCTGATTGTATTCATTGGAAAGATAATAAATAATAGATTTAAATGATATGTTTGTTTAAAAACGGAGGAATCAAAATTCTTATCGAAATTAAATTTATTATTAAGAATATGATTAATTCCTTCCTGTTAATTACATGTCAGAATTTCTTGATGCTTGACATCAATCTCGATTCTTGACATCAATAATGTTCACATAATTTTATTGTAGAAAACATCAGTTTTTTTTTATTTTTAATAATATTTTTTAGATATCATTGTATTAATATGTTTTGACATATATAACTTTCAGAAATGATCACACATACGTACACATAGAGGTTCTTGAATTAATTTTTGTACAAAATTAAAAACTGTACTATTAAAGTACGTTTCTCATTTACTTTTGTCTTCCATTTTAGGGACACATTCAAGATTTTATTAAAATATATAAAATATTTTATCAAAATATGAAAAATCTTATAATGCTGCCTTTTATTTTATCCTGTATAGTTGCTTATTTATGAGAAACAGAACTCCACTGTGTCCATCTGGCGGTAGTGTCTTACACCTACAGCTCGCGAGAAAAGAACGTTTAATGAATATAACATATAATTGAGGTTACTAAATATTCTAATTATAAAATATCAAGTCCTTTAAGATAACAGAAATTCTGCTTAGTTTTTTATTGTACACTTCTAGGATTGCCAACAGGCCGGTAATGAACCGGCCTAACCATATTTTCACTCTCTGATCGATTGCCGGTGCATGTATTTTATCGGCTCCGGTTCATAAAATGACATAAATTAAATTTGTCTGATGAAGAAAATTTTTTTACAAAAACAATTTAATTTTAAGTTTCATATACGCGTTTTTCTTGCATAAAAAATTATTTTTATGTAGGCTGATAATTCTGATAGCATTGTAGCACCTGTCTCGACCTGATTGGCTAGACATTGAAACATAGAATGTGTTGCATGTCTATGCTTATTTTATTTTATGTTTGTTTGTAGTCGAATTCGTTTTTAATTTTTTGTTTCAGATAGTATTACATTATATAAAAACGTAAAAGACTTATCATATTTAACCTTTCTTAATTATAGTTTTAAAAAAGCCGTTTTTTTTTTCGAATTGCAGAAACAACTAAAATTATTTTCTTTTTGGAAAGAAGCAAATGGCAGATCTTACATATAAATTTTTCTAATGAATTTTTCTATCCCTAGAAAAAGAATTGGGAAAATCAGTGAAAAAAATTGAAAAAGAAAACAGTTTTTTTTTTTCGAAATTTTAAAACTATATTTCTTATACTATATTTCTTTAAATATATTTTAAATAATCTATATTTAGATAATTTATATCTATATTTAGATAATTTATATTAGTTAAAATAAAATCTATAATATTTATAATTATATAATATGTCACGTGTGTATATAATATAGAAATTAAATAATCAGAACCGCAAACGCATGTACGGCACTGTAAAAATTACAAATGAGATTTTATTCCGTGTGAAATCTGGCACGAACTATAGATTATCTAAAATGGTCTTTATGAAACAAAGCTTGCGTGCGTGTTCTCTTTTGCGGGGTTAATGGACTTTTGATGAATGTTTTTCCGCACTATCTCCCGCCGGCATTATTATTGTTGAAAATACTTGGCGCTAGTATCGCAACCGGACAACGGAGAAAATGGCTGTGTGTTATATGCGCGCGGTTCTATAAGATAACCTTCGCGGTTTCCGATATGAGTCTAAGGGTCGAGACATAATGAAATATGAGAACGAGATATAAGAAACAAGGAATAGATGCAAGAGGAGCAAACACAATTAATGCGAATATTAGAAGAATGCAAATTGATCGATGCCACGTAAAAATGGCACTCGATTAATCGCTAATAGAAAAAAAGAAAATTCAGAAAATAAATTTCTCACATTATTATTAAAGTTCTAAAAAGAGCAATTTCCGAAATTTGAAAGTTAGATAAGCCCTGTTAGGCCGTAATTACACTTACAAATTGTCGATTCTATTTTAGCCAATCATGATGCAGCGAGTGCAGTTTTTTTGCAACATGATTGGTGCATCAGCAACCATACCGATATGACCATAGAATAGGACTCTTTGAAAATATACATATCTTTTGAACTTCGAAGAATTTGAAGATATAATAAACTGAGAATTGAAAATTAATTATTAAATATTGATGACTGAAAAAAATTACAATTTGCAATTGTAAATTAAAAAATAAAAAATTAATTCTTAGATATGTCTTTGCAAGGCGAATATTAATTAATTAATGCAGTTATATTCCTGTCATTGTTTACGTACGTGTTCATAAATGACGTCATTGATATCAGCAATTGCATTCGATTAGAATCAAATTGATCATACATTGAATGAGAAAATAAGAGGATTGATAATAAAAAAAAGAGATAAATTATTTATGCATTCTATTCTCTCTCACTACAAGTCTCAATTAATTAAGTA